TTTTTAAAAATAAATATTTTTATAAATACTAATGAAAAATTATAATTTAATCATCAAACACTTCATTCCAATGTACTCGTGTAAAGAACAGCATTATCCGTCACACATTGCAGTGCCGTATCATTTACACGTAATTCGCGTTGAACTCTGCCGTACCGAGAAACAGCCCCGCGTAAAGTTCCGCCGTGCCTAAGAGATTAATTAGCGAATAAAGATTGACTCAATCAACTGCAGAGAAAAAAACCTTTATTGATAGAAATGATATACAAAAAAAAAAAAACGGAGGCGAAAAACCCGAGTGAAAAACAGGTACTCAGTTCGGGGTTGTCGCGCGACTGCTTAAAATGCGGAGAAGCATTTGTTATATACTTGGATCGGAACCATGGTCAGCGGACCCATGGCTTTTATGGCCCGGCCTGGGCCTACCTTAAGCAGAGAAACTCGCAGTAGGAAAGTAAAAATTCAAAATGTAATCTATTCTCAATAAATTTACAATCTGAAAAAGATAAGGGCTCGAAATCTCAGATCTCGATTCATTCCCAAATCATATTATACTGTATCTTGTTACTAAGACAGTAGCTTTCGACATCTCTTCAGCTGTTGGTCCAAAATGAACTTAATCTTGCCTCTCCTGTATTTATCTCGAAGGAGATTCGTTGAACTGCCAATGTTGAATCAATCTCTCCTCCGCGATATTCTCTATCCTTTGGCAAAATTTCCCTTCGTTATTTTCACGACTGTACCTTGGATACGTGCACGGAGATGCAAAGGAGAAGCTAGAGGATGTTTGAAATCGAGATTCGAAAGGATCGAGAGGCTTGGATTGTTTGTTTGCGCGCGTGTGTGTGTGTGTGTGTGTACGAATGGAAGAAGCGTAGGTGGAGGAAGAAAAGTATTGCGAAAGAAGCGTGGACAAACGGTCGCGTAATTGCAACGGGCTTGACGAGGGACCCACCTACTGACCTACACACGTGTAGCCAAGCGTTCGTGCCTCTGTGTCTCGGGTTTATTTGCGTTTCATTGTAATCCGAGTTCATTCTCCTTTTGCTCTGTTTCGCCCCCGTCGCTGGTCGCCTCGCGTGCCAATGAATGGACCGCATGTGCACGCGTGCATGCCACTCGTCGATTAGGGATCTGTCAGGTCCTTCGCTTCCGTGATAATTGCTAGGAAGTTTCAACGGAGCTTCGCTTGTTCCGTGGATCGACCATTCAGAGTGCTTAGTATCATTGAAAGTTTGCGGAAGATACACGTATTTGCGAATCTTTTTAGAGTTCGGTTGGTTTAACCTACTATAGTTGCAAATTGAGAGGTTTACTATTCTAGGCTTTCAAAAAATTCAACGTTTACTGAAAGTTGTTTGTTAATATCTCGGAAACTGCAGCTAATATTTTATATTTGGAGTCCACCCACTCTCCTCCTCCTTTCCAGCAAATTTCGTGTCGATTGGTGACCTTTCGGAGCCTCCAGGGCCTTTCAGAACTTTATCCCTAAGTTTTATACTATTCTAGGCTTCTAAAAAATGTGAAAAAATTCTGGGATACTTATCAAAGTCTCTACCGTACTATATTAGGTCTGTGCAAAAATTTCCATCGCTTATAAATCGATAACACTGAAAACCACCCTTATACTTCTTCCTTTTCTCAATTTTCAGTCGATATTCGTACTGAATACAGTATCAACATCGCCTTATTACTATTCTTACGTCAATCATAAATACAATAAAACACATGTGAAAATCTTCCAAAAAATGCGAGGGGAACAAACTTCCTCTTTAATAAAAATAAAAATTCCTCTTCGAAGAAATAAAAGAGCGAAATTTCGCTGGGTGACCTAGATTCCCCTGTGCAGGATTAATTGAACGTACAGGGTGTTCTGTAAAAGCTGAACAAATATCGAAGGGGCACTAAGAAAATTATCGGTAAAACATTATTGCGATTTGAATTTGCTCGTTACATTTATTTGTAAGTATTAGCGTTCCATTATAGTTTATCTAGAATCACTCCGGCTCGTTATCAGGTAATACCCTGTAGAATCTTGTTTTTGTGATTTGCCACCGATATCTTTATCTTTATTACCGACCTCGATGACAGGTTTGTTGAGTAACGCCACGCCGAATGCATGTAATAATTTAGTTGTTCCGGGCGGGGGCTGTAAGGTCAAGTTTCCATCGATCGATGCTCCTCCTCGTTTTATCGTTCGCACCATATATACTCGGTTAATTAAACAAATCTTCCCTCTAAAGGTTAAAACGTGACCTACTAAATCTCGACGATCCATACGCTATCTATTTTTAAATATCAACAAAAAAGTGCATTCGGGGTATCGCAATTCTTACAGAAACTTCGCGGTGATACCGATTTAACTGCATATTGTTTCCTTGGAAATTTATCAACATAAATATTCCACGATAACACTTCGTAATATTAAGCTCGTAACTGTGAGAAAATCCGTCCCGAAGACGGTGAAGCGAGCATCTTGAGGCCAGGCCCAGCGCTTTTGGGTTTCTCCCTGGGCCTCTTCGCGTAGGGATGGACAGGGATCGGCAGGACGACGCGTCCTCACTCGAAGCATACTTTTGCGAACGACGCTCAGATAACGCGGATACAGACTTTGAATAACATGTATGTCAGAAAAATACTCCGACTCAGCGTAGGGTGGGCGTAAAATTCACTAAACGTATCTACGTTTTCCGCAACAATATATTCCACTCAGAATCTGTGTCTACGTTAATCGGACGTCGCTTGCAAAGGTGTAAATTGAAGGTCTCGGGAAGAGCGAGGACGCGTCGTCCTGCCGATCCCTGTCCATCCCTACGCGAACAGGCCCAGGGAGAGACCGAAAGGGGCGAGTCGCCCCCACCGAGCGCGCTGGGCCCTGGCTTCAAGGTGCTCGCTTCACCGTCTTCGGGACGGACTTTCTCACATGTACTATTGTAAAAACGTAGACACGTTCAATTAATTTCACGCCCACCATACTACGAGTCAGAGTACTTTCTGACATAACTGTGTCTCTCCCTTTGAAACAGAAATTGAATCTCTCTAGTAAGAATTATAATCCATCAAGTTTCTTTCGTTCTTGCAAATGTGAATACGACAGGCGTATTACCCAAGTACGATTAAATATGAGTAATCTCTCGATAAATAGGAATTAGCTAATCAACGACGAGTTAACTCATCTTACACAATTTTGCACTCGAGGGGCGACTAAGAAGCGAACAGTATATTTACCATTAGGGGCAACTCAAAGGATGATATTTTCCAAGGCAGCAGGTCTATGGACCTCCGTGAATTGTTCGCTACATGTTTAGAGATCTCAGTAGCGAAATAGTTTGAAGGAAGCAACTTCTAATAAAAGTATTAGTTTTTTATAGAAAAAAAGGGCCTTCGAGTGCAAAGTGTAAATATCCGACGATGACACTATTAATGTCAAAAATTGAGGATTATTAAATAAACGATCGTCAGTCATACACCTAGTTTGGAACATCGAGACGCAATTCTCAGATGCAATTTCTAGGCGCACCCGTCCACCATATAAGGCTCATCCCCATGTACGTATTATCTGTGCCGTTGAAAGCCATTGCACGAAGCCACGAAACTACTTTTCAACCGGTCGTTTATTGTCGGTTCTCCGTTTTAATCGGATATTCACATTTCGTCGACAGCCCTTAGAAACGTCAACCTCTCGCCTCTGATAAGATTAAGAACGTATTTACAAGCGCAAGTGCGACAATCTTGAACCTTGCACTCCGTTCTCGCTCATTTTATATGCAGATTTCTTTCACACTCGTGGATAGATGGTTCTCTTCCAGCAGCTCTCTTTGTCGTTTGTCCGCATTTTTGCCCATTGTACGCCTATTATGCGCGATAATGCTCGAGTTCGCGACCCTCCGCCGTCCTCTTTTTCTCCACGTTTGTTTTCCTTTCTGCCTCTGTGTGGCGAACCGGAGAAAAGAAAGAGCCACGGGAGGAAGTGGCTCGATACGCCTCCTTGAACTTGCACTTTGTACAATTGTTTCGCCCTTGTCGGTTAACAGGCTCCCTCCGCCATTTTCACGTCCGTCATGTCTCTCCTCTATTTTATTTTTCTCGCCTCTGAACACGAACCAACAGTTATACCTACAGGAGGGGAACGTTGGATTTTCGTGTCCTCCTCCTGGAGGAGGTTGCAGTAATGGAGAAATATCGAAGCTTGTCTTACGAATAGATATTAGCCCCTTAACGTATGGTTTCTTTTCGAACATCTAAGCGTCAGCCATTTACCGCTTTAGTTCACTGTATCAGGTAACAAAAACTCTTCTGTTACAGATTAATTACCTGTAGTAATCCTCAGAGTTGCGAATTGAAACGAAAGTTAGGATTAGAATTAACTTTTGTTACTAATATAACTGTTTTTGTCGTATCTTGACCAGAATCTCTGCCACGAGTCTGACGCGTTGCCATATGTTAAGGGGTTAAGGGGGTATTCTGGTTTCGAACTTTCAAAAAATCAATTTTTTCGCTTTCGGAATTTTCTCCAAGTATTCTAGAACACGCGTGCAAAATGATTTGTTCGAATTCGTGGAATTAATTTAGGTGTGAGCGTTTGAAGGATGCAGTGGTATCTTAACGAAATGGGTAGGTGAATCTTCAAACGCGTTTTTCTCGAAACCTCGTTGTTTCCCCAGTGATCAGAGTGTCAAATGTTTAGAATAATTCAAATAAAAATAAATAATAATAATATTACGCTTAGAATAATGAAAATTTTCTTGTGGCCAATAATTCTGAGAGCAATACGCAAATCTTCCGTGACACAGTGAACGTGTTAAAGCTTTTTTCACACTGTCGTGAAAAGAGTAATTGATAATCCGCTCGTTCTTTTCTCTGTATTTTGTTTACACGAGAGTAGAGATAAGAGTGAATGTGAATGAAGTCGATATAATTCTGTTGCGCCTCTTCTTTCGATTCGTGTTATTTTTTTCCCGCTGATTAATTCTAACGAGAGGAATGTTTGCCTGCTGCAGGATCCGTGTCCGTCGAACAGAAGAATGGAAACGGTAGCACGAAGAATAACAAAACGAACAACAACGGCGTAGAAGTGAACAGGAACGAGGAACAAAATGGTTCTAGCGACCTGAAAGGCCAAGCCAAGAAGAAGACGAACGGACCTGGTAGCGGTCCTCTGTTGCAACAAGCGTAAGTTTCTTCTGCTACCGATCTTAGACACGGTACATCGACATCTTGTTTACACTCTTAGACGTCTAATTATAATATCTGTCGCTCGATCCGCGTTGCATAATGCCGTTATTCACATCGATCGAAGCTACTTACCGTAGAGTAAACATGCCAAATTAAGATCGGTGCTATTTAAAAAAAGTCATTGCGAAAATAAGCGAAGTATTTATCCTTGGATAATTAATCACGATTTATTTTTGTTATTTTACAGAGAGATATCCACCAGTCAGCTCGACTTCTTCAAAATGCTCGACGAGAAAATCGAGAATGTAAGGGATCCTCCTCTTATTTTTCTTTCTTGCCACCGTCGAATTTACATATCACTCGAGGACTACATCGAACTGCGAGCAGAATATAGTGTTGTTAGTTGTTTCTGATCGTCCTTGCACGCGATACTTCGTTACTTTTCCCGCAACGCGATCTCTACGTGACACGAGGCTTTCGTCCCTTGGAACGATCGGGATCAGCCTCGAATTACGCGGTGTATTCTCTATCGTGTCGGCAAAATGCATTGGAATCAGGCCATGTAAAATAGATGTCCCCTTAAGGCTTCGCCGACCTTGCTGCAACCTTGCAGCAATAATAATATTAGTCCGTGGCCGACGCTTGGCTGGCTGGTTGCAACTTTTATCGAGTTGCGGGATATGAATTTGCTCGATATTTCATCGGCCGTATACCTACCGACATTGCCTATCCGAAGATCTTCGTTTCTCTCGTCTCTTCTTTCTTTTTTTTTTCCCCCTTCTACACCTGGTTGTTCTTGACCGTTTTAACGCGATCTCGATATCGAGAAGAACGCAGTTGTATCGTAAATAACGTTCTTTTTTTGGAATTTTTTAATCCTTCGCGATGCAAGGCAATCCTTCTGCTAATATGCGTGATTCGTTGAAGTATCTAGTGAATGTGAATCGTGGGAGAGATTAAGATCTATTCGATCACAGTGTGAAAGTATTCTTCGAGTAGCTACTGTAATGGAGGTCTTTGATGGAGAATCGATTTCGAAGTTTTCATTATCGTATTACTTAGTAGAACGTAATGCAATTAAATTGAAAAGAGAAGTAATATGTTTTTGATATATTAGATACATATGTAACACATGCCTGAGTCGATTTAAACGATTTAAGGAAAAGGGATAAGTCTGTGAGTCATTTTCTCCATCAATTGCCTCAATTTTTAAGTTAAATTCGAAACCTGAACCTTATCTATCCTCAAAGCTACTTCTGTATTAATACTGTTGTTTGTAATAAAGAATTTCGTATTTATTCGTTTATTTGTGATAATTTCAGGGACCAGACTACGACGAAAGTCTGGACAAAACCGCCAAAGCAGAACACGAGTCCAACCTCGTCCGTCAATGGGAACTAGCCAGCGTGACCTGGTCGAGCGTGTCCGAATTAAACAACACGTCCCCTTCCACGATGAAGAATCGCAACTCCGGCTTGAACGCGTCTCGACAGAGCCTCAGCGCGAAAGACAAGGAAGGAATGAGAAACATAGTCGGCGGTAGACCGGAGAGCGCACCAATTTACATGAGGAACGCGAATCGCGTAGACGGTCTCCAAGAGACTCACTGCCCATCGCCGAACATGCCAAGGCACGTGTTAGAATCGATCACCCAAAGTCCGACGCAAAGCTTGAAGAATGTCACGCCACCCGGCTCGTCGCCCACTAGCCTGCGTTATCAGGACAATTACAAGGACAATTGTAACGAGAATCAGCCGAAAACCGTGAAGATACATTACGGTGCTCAGAATCCTGTGAACGGGGAATATGTAACGCAACAGGCGTTGTATCGTGAACAGTATTTGCAACAGACAGGGATAATCACGGTGCCAGCACAATATTCCACCGGTTCTCCAAGCGGCAACGTCCTCAGGAACAATCCGTACGTGCAACAGTATCAGATCACCAGCCCTCAACATTTCACCACCTCGAGAAAACGGGGCTTCAATGCTGCACAGATGACGTGACCGGGCTAGCCGTGCACCACCAGATAAAAGACTGATCACACACGATATACATACACACATGAACACACAGAAACCCTGTGAGTCAAGAGAGAAAGAGAGAGAGAGGGAGAGAGAGGGAGAGAGAGAGACAGAGAGAGAGAGGAAACCGGGTGGCGAGCACCAGGACTCGACGAGGATATCACTCGGATCGTCATCGTCGTCGTCGTCGAGGCGAGAGCTCTGTTTAAAGTGAATCAGAAGAAAGAAGGAGAGAGAGCCTATTCAAGGCTGGAGACTGACCAACACAGACGGAGAAGATTAACCACGGATGTTTCTCTGTATGTTCCTAAAGATTCCGTACATTTTCGTTGCGATTGGGTTAAGAATTTAAGCTGTAACGATCCAATAAATATAACACACACGAGCGAGACACCTGTAACGATTGGTGTTGGCCTAAAGATTTCTGCGATTTTCTTTGAAGAGAAGGATGTGAAGGGTAGAGGGATACAATAGCATCCGTTATCCCTACGGTAAAAGATTCTTCTAAAATCTACACACAGAATTCTTCGCTGTAAGTGCCAAAAAAAGAAAAAAAAAAATGCTACTATACGCAAGCAATCTTAGTGTCACGGAAGAGAAAACAAAAAGATATAATACGAGAGAAAGAGAGACATTGTCCGTTGAACCAATACTCCGTTCTTTGTAATTCGTGTAAATGAAACTTTTTCGATGTGTATATGATATACATACGTGTATTATATATATATATACATATATATTTTCATTCATACTTGTGCTTTCGTTTCTCTTTTCTAATCGGTAGCGTCTCTACGTACCATTGGTAAATGTATATTTCTATAAGGGAAAAATTGAACAAAAGGAGCAAAAAAAAAACATGATAAAAGAATCACAAAGATACGCCTGAGCGAGGATATCGCCGTAGCGTTTTTGTATAATTGTGTATTAGCGAGATATTCCGAGATGATATATATACATATACACACTTCGCATATACGTGTGTATGCATTTATGTATGTATCTAAAAGGCGTCGAAAAAAAAAAGAAATGAAAAACGAACAGAGAAGAAAAGAGCAGATGTAGGGATCTTACTTATACCGTGTATAGATTCACTGTATGTATTATATGGATACATTTAACTTAACGTGATGACTGTATATTTATATGTTGACAATGTTCAAAGTTAACGATATATATAGTTGATGATGAGAGTTTTATATTTCATGTTACGAATATGCTCTATATTGTGGAATACACTTAATCGAATTCGTTGCATCACTGTCGAACTCTGACAACTATATTTTGTTCCGTTGAGCAACCAACATTTTTTTTTTTTTATTAATAAATTCGTAATTTCTCCCCAACGAATTAGTTTATTGTAATATTGTACATCGTTCACGTGCGACGAAACCTGCTTTCAAAGAAAACAATTATAACGCGAAATATATTTTAATAAGTACGCTTAAACGAATCCGGGTTACCGATGAAACTCTTCACGCGCTTCGAATGCTTGTTCTCGTTACGTAACTTAAGCTTGGAAATTTAACAACAGGAAAAAACGAAATAGGGATACTCTAATACGCGATGATTGATTTATAAGTTCTTGTTTAACGTCGCGAAAGACGGTTTCGGATCTGCAAGAATAATCAGCAAGCTGTTCGCGTGTAATCCGATTTGACACTTGACTAATAAGATTTTACTGCCCCGAAACCTCTGTGATACGAATCTAATTGCATTTGTTTATCAGTACGAACATACGTGCTGCCTCAAAACTTGTTTTTAACTTGATGCAGGTCACGTTTTAATTGAATCTTTATTGCTTTAATTTGATTAGACCACTTAAAGTTAACCCTGGATTCTATGATATTTTCATGAGAATAAGGACCTGCTAAGTTTCTTTTCAAGGTTAAATATCTACTTTGGTTCCCCATAAAAATAGGCCATTCGATCTTGAGCTTTCTTTCAAGGGAAAATATTTGTTTTCAAACAGGACACTTTGTTCTTTAGTTTTTCTTTAAGGTTCGACATTTATTTCGATCCCACGAAGTAAAAATAGTTTCATAATCTCGAGTTGTTTTTCAAAGCTAAAAGCTTCAATTTAGATTTTTATATTTCAGATGTAAATGACAAAAATTATCGTGAGAAATTGGACAAAGGCCGCTTGTTAATTCTAATTTCAACGTTGTCTAGAAACTTATAAAATTGATCATGAATATGGACTAGTAAAATCCTTATTCTAAAAAAAGTTTGCTTTGCCGGACAATAGTAAGGCGTGCCTTAGCAACAATTATTCCAAATAATTGTTATCGGGGATTGAAAACATTGTCACAGGCTGCACACATGAAATCGAATGGCATTTCAACGAGAGGAACATTAGAAATTAAGTAGTTTTTAATTGAAAGAGTTTAATTTGGGGTTATAAAATAGTACGGAAGGATTGTTCTGCTGCCGTCAGCGTTCCAAAAGGAAGATTGTGTATGGTCGAAATCATTGTCAGAAATGAAGTATTATCAGGTTAGTTGATTTTTAAAATAGAAATTCTTTGAATATTTTTAATTCAATCATAGTTATTGTAAATTAGAACGTAATTGCATGTAGTAGGCAATTTGAAATTGATACTTATAATAAATTTCTCATTCTTTTATCATTATTTATAGTGAGTAGATAATAAAATCAAATTTCTACTTCATTTTAAAAAACTCTGACTATAGAATAATTAGTATTTCTTGTTAAATAACAATTTAGATGGTTGTTTATAATTACTGGAAGTCTTAAATAAAATTATTGTATGTTTTAACTTAATAAAACAGCTTAATATATTAATTTTACATCGAATTCACCATTGCATTCAGTACATTAGTCTGAAATTATTTATAACTTTTATTAAAAATTAGAAAAATCAATGTTCTTTTCGTATGAATTGCAGATGGACTATCCAGGACACGGCAGAAATGTATTTTAAAAAAGGCTAAAATATACCAGTATTGTTTCACAACATTTTACAGCCTATTCATTTCTCCCTTATACATCATGTACATTTCGTTTTGCGAAACATTCATTCTTTAATTAATATTCCATCACAAAATTAAATAAACTAAGTTCGGATATCGTTAAAAACGCGCAATAATCGAAAAAATGTAGAAATTTAACCTAAATAAATTATACATTTAAAAGTACATATAGAATTCCACACTTCATGTACGTGTTTACGATATCCGCTTCTATACCTTATTTGTAATTTCATAGTTACATTTAGTTCTAATTCCAACCACTACTAACGTTGCAATCTTATTCTATGTTTAATCGATAACGTTGGACGGAACACGAAAATGGTAAGGGCACTTGCAGCCCTCCTGACGTAGACTAAAAAATGCATTAGGTGTTAGGTCTATCCTGTACCTGGTCTGTGATTCTAAGTTTTTGAAATTTCATAATTATTATTATTTCTTTCTATCAATGTGCAGTAAGGAGTTTGAGTGATTAATGTAGAAGTTTTTGGTTGATTTATGTGATTAATTCTTCTGTAATTCTCATTGAAAGATGATGATGTACCATCAGTAGTCGTGCTTACCACGAAGAATAACTCATCGAGGTATTTAGCGATAAAAAAATGAGTAAGACAAGGAAAGGAATACGGATAGAGAAGGATAGCACTAGAGTAATGTGTTAGACAAGGAAAGATATAGTGTTAGACAAGGACAGAAAATTTGAAAAAGCGAAGGCAACGCCATCTCGCGTTAGGTGACGCGAACTACGATTTCTTAATAGGATAACAGGATATAAACAGAGGTATTAGACAAGGATAGCACTAGTGTGCGACAAGGACAGAGAGAGAGACGCTTCCTATTGGTCGGCGGGCCGCCGAGCTCCACCTATCAGGCCCCAGATTAAATCGATCGATGAAAAATCGTTAATAGCTCATTAATTAGGATGATTTTGTGAACTTTTATAATTGAAGAATGAAGTGTGGACCTTCAGCAACTTTCTCATATAATTTTTAGTGCTCCAAATCCTTTCAGTAATTAGTTATTAACAATTTTAGTACGGGATGTCGGGAACGATTCCGTACACCGTCAAGTACCTTTACGGTTTTTCAATAATTTCACAGCTTTCTGCTAAATTCTCATACAACTAACTGTATGCATTTGGAAGGCAACTCCCTTAGCTACATTCTCATATAATTTTTATTAACATATTCGGTTTAGTTTAAGAGTCATTAAATATTCTTTGCACAGGATAGTTTAAAAATTCTGAATTTTCTGCGAGTCAACCATAAGTTAGACATTGAAATTTGTTAATAGTAAAGTCAACCATATCTCCGACAACGAGTTTCGACCTCTGACTTATGGTTGACCTCTCTGATTTTCAAATATCCTGCCGGTCAACCATAAGTCAGACGCCGAAATTTTGTCGAAATCAGCCAGTAGTATAGGTTAATCAATTCTTAGACATGCGAAAATTCTCCAAGTCCGAAATTCGGAGCGGAAAAACAGCTTTATTTATTAATTCATTAACCTATCGGTTTATTAAAGTTTCTATTTTATTTGCAAGTGGTTTGATCGAAGAATAATTAGTGTTTCTCGTTAACTAGCAATTTAGTTTTGTTTAAATTAAGAATGGAGGGTTTCAGGTCACCACAGGAATCAAGGAAAGGCTTCAATATCAGGAAAAATGATTTATTGCAAGAAAACTGTAGAAATTGTATTTTACAAAAGGTTACAATATACCAGTGCTGTTTTACAGCACTTTGCATTCTATTCATTTCTCCTTTACACACAACGTCCATTTCCATTTGCGAAACACTCGTTCGTTAAATAACATCTCCGTTATAAAATTAAATAAATTAAGTCCGGATATCATTAGGAACGCGTAATAATCGATAAAATCTTGAAATTCGTACGGAAAACTTCAAAAACTGCGGGAAAATGGCGTAGAGACTATTATCTGTCAAAATTTTATTTTGACAATTAGAGAGATGGACATGAGATGCTTTTATTGATGTTACTAGTAGCGCCACAGTGAGCATAGTATGAACCACGTTAGTTGTTGAGTTTTTCTATTCGAGTTCTTAGACCGTGAACTATGTCTGTCGAGCGCAAGTTGCACTAAGAGGATCGAACATAACAGAAAACTTTATGTAAGCGTTCATGAACGAGGTTAGTGAACTGGATTACTGTTTGTATGTAAACAGTAATAAAATTAACATGTACTCCTGTATACATACATTATGCCTATAATACTTCTGGGCGTGGCATAAAGTATTATATACAAACTCTGTTTACATCTCTGTTACGACTTATTTTGTATTTTAAGTACTTTAATAATATTTTTATCATTATACTTCCAATGTTTATTATTCACAATAACTTAGTTCCTTGCACAATATTCACCGGATTTTGAGGTTAAGTTATTAAAACAGAAGTGTATGAATCATGTCATTCATACATTACCTTTTGATTTATGCATATGACACGATCTATTAATGTATAACAGTTTCAAATTTTTCAATTACTATTGCAAGAATTACTTTCTATACATGGTCATCATTTTTTAATATGTTGATGTAAACAAAGATATTGAAAAAATGATTTTTTTATGTAAATATAATGGACTTAACATTTTTTAATATTTTATTTTTGAAGATGTTATCTTCATAGATGTAGTAAATGGAATTCCATACAAGTATGTCATTGCATCAAGTGTGAAACTAGATTAATCCATTCAAGTTACAAATATGGAGAAGAGGAGCAGTGCAGAGCTTTTGAATGTAGAGCAAAACAATTCCAAAAATGCCAGTTCTGATTCTCTCAACTCAGACAGCAAGAGCAGTTCTCTTAATTCTAAGATGGGTCAAGAATCGGTAATTTAACCTGAATTAATTAATCATATAGGCTTTTAACTTAGGTTTACACATATCTAACTGAATGCAAGCATTCAACTTCTTTAGGAAAGCTGGGATAAAGCATCACATTCCAAAAGTTTTTCCTCAAGCTCTACTTCAACAGATAATAATATTGTCTCTGCTTTAGAAGCTAAAAAAGACAATCAAGTAAAAGTGAGTTCCACATAGTTGAGTAGAGTTGATGTAGCTTTTATTTTTCTCAAACATTTACTTATTACCAGAGTTTGTTTTTTTCAGACAATGTTTTTGATTTCATTCATTTGGTACGTTTCACCTCTTTATTGAGAGATTATGTTCCATCACTTTTACTTTTTCAGTATTTAGTTAAAGTAGATGTTTGTTTTTATTAAACTGATGGTTAATGGGGTAAAATATGTATCTTTATTTTGCAGAACTTGTCTGCTGGTGATACCAGTCCACCACTCTTAAATGGAGAACGTGTACAAGGTATTGCCCACGAAGTAACTTACCTGTGTCCTTACTCAGGACCATCCAGAGGAATTCTTAGTGTTACGAATTACAAGCTTCACTTTCGGAGCGTAGATCGCGAAACGCCTTACATAGTTGAAGTACCTCTAGGTGTTGTTAGTAGAATCGAAAAAGTCGGCGGCGCGTCTAACCGACGTGAAAATTCTTATGGAATCGAAGTGTTCTGTAAAGATATGCGGAATCTCAGATTCGCTCATAAGCAGGAGAATCATTCTAGAAGAGACGTTTTTGAAAAACTCCAACAGTATTCGTTTCCTTTATCCTATAAATTACCTTTCTTCGCGTTCGAATATTCCGAGACGTTCACTGAAAATGGCTGGAACGTTTACGAACCTATAGCCGAATTAAAACGAATGGTAAATAATATTAGGCTGTTCGAGATTTAATAATAAGTAATCTTCGGTAACATTGCGATTATTTTTAGGGAGTAAACAATGATATGTGGAAGATCTCGAAAATCAATGACACATATTCGGTATGTGATAGTTATCCAGCTGCATGGGCGGTGCCTGCAGCAGCTACCGACGAGGATTTACAAGCATCGGCAGCTTTTCGAAGTAGAGGAAGGCTTCCCGTACTTTCGTGGATCCACCCAGAGAGTCAGGCAACGATAACTCGTTGTGCTCAACCGTTAGTAGGTGTTGGTGGCAAGCGTAGTCGCGAAGACGAGCGATACGTCCAACTAATAATGGACGCAAATGCACAAAGTCATAAACTGTTTATTATGGATGCACGACCAATGCCTAATGCGGTGGCGAATAAAGCCAAGGGCGGTGGTTACGAGAGCGAAGACGCTTATCAAAATGCAGAGCTAGTATTCCTTGATATTCATAATATACATGTGATGCGGGAGAGTCTTAGGAAATTAAAAGGTAGATGATTTTATTAAGCCCGTAATGACAAATTGTCATTTTGTACTAGAAAAATGTTTTTCAGAATTGTGTTTTCCAAAAATTGACGAAGCTAGATGGTTATCAGGCATAGAGTCTACAGTTTGGTTAAAGCACATTAAATGCGTACTCGCGGGGGCGCTAAAAATTGTAGACAAGGTGGAGAATCATAAAACATCGGTGTTGGTGCACTGCTCAGACGGTTGGGACAGAACAGCACAGGTAATTATGAATTAACGAAATATTTTCTCTATGCAATATGTACCTTTAATATCTATAACTTTTTACAGGTCACAGCTCTTGCCATGTTAATGTTAGATCCGTATTACAGAACCATCAAAGGTTTCGAAGTGCTTATAGAAAAAGAATGGCTCAGTTTTGGTCACAAATTCCAACAGGTATGCGTCATGGCGTTTAATTACATATTTTACGAAAATGTTCTAGTTCGAATAATTAATTTTAGAGAATCGGTCATGGTGATGAACATCATAGCGACGCGGATAGATCGCCAGTGTTTTTGCAGTTCATAGACTGCGTGTGGCAAATAAGTCGTCAGTTTCCCAATGCATTCGAGTTCAACGAACACTTTCTAATCACTATTCTCGATCACCTATACTCTTGTCGATTTGGCACATTTTTATTTAACAGGTAAATAGAAACATTTTGCATCGATCGTTACGTATTATATGTGTATAATAACCATCGTATATAATCACTCATACAGCGAACGTGAAAGAGTTCAGGAACAGGTGAAACAGAAAACCGTCTCGTTATGGTCGTACACCAATACTCAGTTATCCCTCTATCAAAATCCATTGTACTGGGCTGCACCAAATTATCAGCCTGTTCTAATGCCGATTGCCAGTATGAGATACATCAAACCATGGAAAAGTCTGTATTGTAGATGGAATCCCAGTATGCGACAGCAGGTTTGTAAATCGTTTAAATGTCTTAATTTCTCTAGATGAACCTAAACTATCATTCATAATTTTTAATGTTCCTGATCCCGTGTTCTTCAAGGATCCCGTTTACCAACGAACGAGAGAACTTCTAGTCTTAAAGGAACAACTCGAGAAACAGCTCGAGGAAGGTCGCCGCGAGCAGGCTAGTCGAGCGAATCGGTCTATGACATCGCCAGCACCACCTAGGATACATTCCCCGGTTCACTCATAGCACGGCAAGGATTCTTTCTTATCATTTAATGATCTGTAGTTATTTGTAAATGAGCTTCCTCCTCCCGCTCGAGCCAGTGTACAAGATTGACTAAACTCACTCCGCTATGTACAAAACGCTCGTTGATTAAAAAAAAAAGACGTTTACAACTTTTTCTGCAAATGATTCTATGAATTAGTTCTCCATCCCATATACTAACAGATAACAAAGTAGAGCGACCATTTCCTGAAACAACGGAATAGCATTAATCGTAGAAGACATCGTGATCTGTGTGAAATTAAATGCCTCAAGCACACGAATAACAGCTTTCACGATTCAGCTAAAATTTGAAAAATGAGAATGTGTGTGTGTGTGTGTGTCTATATATGTATATACTTATTTCCTTCTTCTATCCCTATTAGCCAGTAGCCGCAACATCAGTATGAAAGGCACTTCCGTTGTCAAGGATAATATCATGGCGCAAACGTAACTAACAGTAAGCACTCCAAGGAATACGGTGCCCTGAAAAGGAACATATATGTTGTTTCCACCACTTTCGATGCTTAGTAAAGAAATAATGAAGAAATATTGCTGCACTTACAGTTGCTAAGACGTCAATAAACGTAACGTAATTAGAGAACAACGACATCGAAATTATAAGGAAAGGATTTAAGAGATAGGCGCAATATGTTAATCTACTCAAGGGAATCCACATCCGTAGCGATAAAAACTTATTTACGACTCCTGCAAGACGAAAATTACGATAATTTAAATGAAGAATTATAATATCATTTGTAAAAAGAGGTATTTTTGCAAGAGGAATGCTGATGTCAATGCATTAATGAGAGTAGATGTAGAAAGTTCGATTTACCGGCATTGTCGGTACAACACGCGACTATCACCCAGCTTATACCAAAAGCCCAAATTATTCTACTGAATGTAACATAGAGAATGCTCAAAGTTATAGGCCAATAGTGGTTCAGAATAACAAATATAGCCGAGCAATTGCACGTAGCTCCGATGATCCAGCAGAGGGCTAGGACTTTCTGAAACATTAATTCAGCAACGATACATTACGTTATAATACACTAATATACAACGAATAGATAACATATATCATTTCGTTACACGTGGCAGATGTAATTTGTAGTTCCACTTTACAAGAAGATGAGCTGTGGCCATTCCTATCAAGTATGGTGGAATTCTTATCCATGGTCGTACGTACAACCATGACAAGTTCGCATAATACGTGTCCAATCTAAGACAAAAGAACAACATATTTATGCACGTGAATATCACACGATCGATAGCAGATATATTTTACACTCACGTAGGAACATAACTAATACTGTATACCGTGTAAACGTTCATTATAATAGATGAAATGATCGAGACGATACCTAGGCCCAAGGCTGCGTAGAAATGCCTGAAATTTGTCGATTGAACTTAGTGGATTAAATTAAAATTAAGCGTTGAACGATCGAGATCAACATTGTAACACTTACGTGACTGACAATAATAGAAGAATAGAACCGAAAATGAAGAACTGCATGTCATTGGACAAATACCAGCTCCAACTGAGACTTTTTTTTTTTTTTATTTTTTAATAAAATCGTACCAATTCATCCCAGTCGTAGAAGTTGTTCATATAGAATATGTTCCTCCACCAGTACTTTGAGCATCTATCTTGAATCGGCTCGAAATAACTGATCGTAGCAGTCTTCTCGTACCAGGAAAAATTCAGTATCGAGATCAATATGACGGTGAAGTATGCGGGTGAAAGCCTTGGAAAAAATTAAACGACAGAATTTCTTACATAAAAATCTCTCTGCTGGAACACTAAAACGAGATATTAGAGTGAAGCTCAAGTACCTGATGTATCGTTTAATGAGGGAGAAGCAGAATTGGTGCACCTGTGTTCGAAGCCTCACAGGTTTATTGTCCTTCAGTCGCGATTTCAGGAACATTAAAGTCAACAAGAATCCACTGATGAAGAAATAAGTGTCCACAGAAAAAGGAGCGTTGCCAGCTAGTTGCGACATGATGCTCTGCGACATTATGTAACCTACCGACCTATTAGCTGTACATGTGAAATTTCGTTTTACAATTTATACAGAGAACTTTAGTTTTTTCTTCTTTTTTTTGTGAACGAATCTGTCTCACCAGCAATGAAATTTTCGTAGAAGATGGTGTGCCCCAAGATAATCCACACCATTCCAAAGAATTTCATACCGTGAATCGAGGATACACCTTCTGTATGTCTCTCTATCTTGAATATTTGTTGTATGTTCGAGTAAGCTGAGAAAGTCACAAGGACCTCTTCCATACGATTTTCTGGCTTCAGCTCTGAGAGCCCAGACTCTTCGTGGTCAATATCTCGTTTCTCTTCCATGTCGTTCTTCATTTCTGCTTACAATTTATGATAAATTTAATACGCTACACTTTTCGAAGAAAGTATACACTGTGAGAAATATTAAACGGATGGTCGATGAATTGTGGTCAGCTTACCAGAAGTGTTGTTGTTCTCGAACGTAAGGAACTGCCTTTTCCTTTGTAAACGACTCTGATAAATGATAATATCGTACAGCGTGCCTACTAATACTGTACAAAATAACAGTACCAGAATAAGTCTGCAATCAGAATTTCGTTGATTTCGGTCAATATTTGCTCGCATAGTGAATAGTCGAAGGATTTGCCGATTATCATACTTTCGATCCTTCGAAAATATCTACGTACATAATTACGATCATTTTTCCGTTAAGAAGCCACTCTGAGTCGTCCTTCATGTCGTAGATTTCAATTTGTCTAAAGTCCGCAGAATAGAGCCGTCCTACTAGAAGAGTTCTATCGTCGAACACTTTTTGCAGCATCTTGCCAAGTTCTTGTCCAGTGCAGGATGCTGGGAGGCACAATCCAAGTATAATCTGGTTCTACAGAGAAAACCAAACGATCTTTGTTAAAATTTTTACAGAAATTTGAATCGTCGATTTGATCCACAAATTTAACTAATATTTCTTTACTTCATCCCCTATCTCTATATGATACTGCATAGTGCTGTTGTGCCTGAAACGCGCCGAGAAGAAGTTCAGTTCGAACGGTGGAAACTCCTTTTCGGGATCTCTGAATCTGGAATTATTCTTGAGAGCCTTCTCGGAGAGTATAAGCGTGACATTCGACGTCAAGTATTTGCATTGAAGACGATCTCCCAGCCAATAATTGTTCCCGCCCATGAATCCTGTACCAGGTTCCCCGCTGGTGTCCAACACTTGAAAAACATACATACAAGATTCAGATTTCACATCAAAATATCGAACAGCTGAGCGGTAGAGAGAAAGAGAGTAAACCAGCCTAACTTTTCCGCCAAAAAACGAGTTTCTTGTGTAACACCGCGCGAAGAAAGTCGCAGGGTGGACGAAAAATCACGCATCTGACACAATCGCGTGGAGAATTAACGTTGCACAAGCCGGTCGAGAAGCCGAATTAAGCTTCGGTAATACGTGTTCCACACGTGAAGGAAAACGGAAATTACGGAATTACGAAATCACTGTATATTCGACTGGTATCTCCTTTCCTTTCCTTCCTTTTCTTTCTCTCTCCTCTCTCTTTCTCTCTTTTTAATCGACTGTTCCATCGAGCGGACCTCCGTCAATTATAAATTTCGCCAAACGTATCTAACCAGCTTACTAACTTCTCAAACTCCACACTACGCCACGATCCACAGCCTCACGAAATTGCTCCATCTCTTCTTGGCATCTGCTCGTATTCAGGACATTGTTGTTAACAGCCATGGCGTAAGCTGGCAGTGTTTCCATCATTGTCTGTTGATTTCGTACGGCCGCTTGGATCGACGCGGAAAATAATAATAGCAAGAATAAGGAAATATTCGTATGATCCATGGTTTCTTCCTGGTTTCGATGCAATCGTAACACTGATCTTTAAATACTAAGATTCACACTGATCGCGACACGGGATCGAGTGGAACATTACACGGTGGTGTGAAAATTCAGTATGGTTGAACAGCGAAGAAACCGTTTCGTACAACAGGGTTGTTTTGTGCAGTGCAGTGCAGTGCGGTGTGTAAAGGAAACGGACGACGGAGGAAGAGAGTCAACTTGTGCACCGGCACGATCGCGACGAGACAACGCACGATCGACGGAGGAACACAGGATTTATTTGTATAAGAGCAACGGAGTGACCAAGGAGATACGACGACCGGGAAAGGACTGCCGTGCAGGAGAAGTAATCACAGAATTCAAATGGAAAGCAAGCCGTCCTCGTGGGTTGCTTCGTCATCGTTTCGTTGTCTTTAAAGTCGCGAGTAACACCCCACCATTTAACCGTTTCCAACCGAGATTATTACTTTTTTGAAAATCGCAGATTAACTATTGCCTCAAATATTTTGCATTTTACCGCGGTTTTTATCAATCTATGTCGGGCAATTATATTTTTACACGATCTGTACGTGACGACGCACTAATAAGAATCGTGATCGTTACGTATTTTGTTTATTCGTTCGTCGAATCTTATCGATGGTTAATTAACGCTCTCTTGTACTCTAAGCTTTATCGTTAAAACAGCGTAAAAAATTGAACACAAAGAATTCTTCAGGTTCGTATATTTTTTGTACCAGCAGGTAAACTGAAATTCTAACACAACGTACAAGTAACTTCAACGTTTACCGATTTATGGATTTTTCTTATAAAATCGTGCATTCGATCGCTCTTGAAATATGTTAATCGGTTCACTTGTTATTTGTACGAGTGTGTTATAATGGTTCGATCTATGGACGAAGAAGAGCTGACAGCTCACGGCTTAAAAAAATTCAACAAACTCGACGGATTCACGCAAGTACAACAGGTTTTCTAACGCCACGTGTATGTATACATATTTATATACTGAGAATAACCATGGTAGTGCGAACGGTTGCAAAATATAGCCGCTCCGGTTTTCACCTGGTCCACCTCGAGAGAAACGATCTCTGCGAAGGATGATCGGTACTACTGTATTGAATCCGTGATTATACCAATAATTCTCCTCTACCATAACTTTGTCTCCCACTGCCTCGTTCCGTTTCGTTTTCTTTTCAAAACTTTCACTCGCACTCCCTGGCTTCGCCGGCTTAATAGCTTCGCCCAAGCCGATTTTACGTTCGCGCGCGCAATTAGCATTCTTCTTTTATTGGCGCGATTAGGTAAAGTCTAGGAGCAACTGGGTAACCCGGCGTGGTGGTTACTTCATGAAATTTTGCCGCCACGTAATACCAAGAGTAAAAAACTTTTCTTTCTTCTTTTTCTCTCTCTCTCCTTTCTCGACGTGGAGATGAAGAAAGGAGGTGGACATAGATCTAGCGAGAAGCGAGTTAGTTGGTTTGGTCGGTGTGTCCCTAGCATGTTATACGACCGTTTCAGAGATTTGCAGTCGTCGAGCTGGATGGATGTTGAAACAAGCATAAAGAATTAGTCATGGCTGTCTCTTGTTTGTTTAACAGGCCATATTGTCTCGCAAGGTGTCAAGTACGCTTTTAAGATCGTCTGAATCTCTTCCTCTTCTTTTTGGTTTCTTAACAAAGACGTTTCAAAGATTTCTCAAAGAAGTTTAACTTTTTTTCTTCTTCTTTCGGCAATTTCTTCGGTGTTTCTCTCTTCGTTTCGTTTCTCAGGATCCCCAAGGCTTCCAAGGTACAAAGATCTGGACAGAGAGAAAAATACTCAGTGTTTGGTAGATTCGTCTGATTTGCAGTAATTTAATGAATTATTTTCTGTCGAATTTCATGATGAATTACGATCGATTATGTAAAAGTGAATAAAGAGAGGTCTGTAGGTTTTTTCTTTTTTTTTTTTTTTCAGTGCCAGTTCTTAGCCACATAATTTATTGCGAATTATCGTTTTTACGAAAAGTACAAATCTCCTTTAAAATATTCACCAACGACTTTTGACCGAAACTTTAGATTTTTGTAAATAGATAATAATTCGTTGGAATGAGGGAAATTTGCGCGTAAGTCGCGCCACGTTTTCTAATTTCGCGAAAGCCCGGAGGTATCATGGACGATTTTTCTGCTCGCGTAACAACGCGATGAGCAATGAGCATGAAATTGAATTATTTGTCTACGGTTCGAGACTTAGGTTAGTTTTCAACAGATTTTTTCGAGGTAAATTATACGCTTCTCGAAAAGTAGACGTCATATTTGTCATTTCCAAGTAAAAAAGATACGTGAAAAATGTGGCAATAGAACAGAAGTAGATGAACAGTCCAACGATGATGTTTTTTTTCGTTGATGCTTGCGCAACACGAATAGTACGTTTCCATGCAAACGCACGGTTTGCAGATTTTTCCTTGCGTAACTACAGAAGTGGATAAATATCATTTTTTGCATCGATTCACATTTGAATTTGTTATGTATAATGGTTAATCGTACATATCAGCTTTGTATAAATGCTAGAAACTATATATAAGCATTAAGTGCTTATATGCTGAATCGAAGTATAATCCAGCTCAGCATTGACTAGACGATCGTTAATGCCTGTGGCAAATTTAATATTCAACGATTATCTGTGGCCAATAAATTTTTATAACGTCTCGAACGCTTAAAAGAACCTCGAGGACGTGCGAAAAATCAATCAGAAATTGTGTTTTCGTGTGGAACACTCGAGGAATGTCGATAAAAAAGGTTCCGATTGTACTGTATATGAATTGTGCGCCTGCGCCTTTTCTTCGATACATTTCGTGGATTGAGAAAATCGTGGAGGAAACATGGGAGAAAAATGAAACAAAAAGGTTATGATTAATAATTCCACTCCACTGATCTCCTGAGTGTAATACACGTGAACTTTCTATGGACCACTTTTTCTTCGTCACACGGTTATATATACATATATGTATCACATGAGGCTAGATTCTGCGTCAAGCAGAACACGTGACACGCCGGTTGAAAATTCTTGCGAACGGGAATCAATATTTGACCGATTCGTAACTCAAGGCTCGTTGATTTGGTTTTGGTGTGTTTCATTTCTAATTTCGTTGGAAACGCTAAAGAGTACACTCATCGGCGAAGTTGGTGAAAATATTGTATCTTTTGTGCAAATACACACGTGACGACAATCTCTCTGCGAATTGTGATGATAGGTTATGGATAAAAAAATTTCATCTAAAGCAACTCTATACGTAAATCTATCTTTTCTTCGAAGTTCTTCCTTATGCAAGAGATTTTCACCTTTTCATCTCATTCACTTTCCCCTTCTTTTCACTACCGTACTCTGATCGATGGGCTACGCTTGACCTGAGAGAAAAAAAAATCAGAATTGACGAAACCTTTTTGTCGTGGTTGACCATACTTGTTTGCTACTATGCAACTAGAATCGTCTTCTGAATATGAAATGCAATTGAACATAAACCGTACGTTTTGTAAAGGAACGGAATTTTTTCGACATGACGGAATTGGTTTAGAATATTTTTGTAATGCATAATTATTACCGGTGGTATAGCTAGCAGTTGTACCAAGTTTTTGCATACCACACTCCTGGAACGTATTTATTAGGAGAAAGGTGGACGATAAATTATCCTAAATGTTTTTGGATTCTGATTGTACGGTTTTACAACGGCCGTAAAAGGAAAAATTCAAGCGGTTGCAACATTTTATCTTCCTTTTGGCCATGGACAAAAAACTCCCTCTACAGAATTTCGATTGACGTTTAAAAATATCTCGAGTGTCAAAGGACAATATGTATCTGTTAAATGAAAGTTTTTTGTTACTGGACAGTGTCTCTTTCGAATTTCAATTAAATAAGGAAAAAGAAAAGATTCTAAAATAAAAAAAAAACAAGAGACTAATAAACAGAATTTACATAAAACGTATTCGTGGATGTATCCTCCATTTTTCTGTATAATTACTTAAATCAATCAGCGTCAGCGGATCTATTAAGGACGTTCAATGAAACATCTTTCTGATATCAAGGCGTTTAACCCTCGCTTACCAAATAGAACCTTGTTCTTTTGACTTGAAAGTTGCCACGGTTAATTGTCTTGATACAGTTCTTAACACTTTCACACAAACAACGACGTATCTGCGTATATGCTTTGAAAGAATATATTTTTTATAGTCTACGAGTAAGGTAAATTTGCGTTGACAACGATAACAAATATACTACGCGATGTCAAATTTGTCAAAAAACATTCGTAAAAGATATACAATAAATAAATGTCGTACATATTGTACATATTATAAACGTGTATATTTTCAACCCTTCCGTTACTTTATATTTCTCTTATGAGAGAAAAATGCAATATAAAATCATTATACACGACAGATACACATATTAGATATCGCATACGCAGTACATAGATACATATGTATGTATAACCTAACTTACCTATGTACATTATGATTCATTTTGACACGATCTGATGTCTCCGAGAATTGATATAAATTTCCGCGTCTCATTAATATCAATGGAACGAAGTATTATCTTTTAATGTTATTCCGACAGTAACACTCTCACGAATAAAAAACCGGTTCTCTAACGTTCATGAACTACGTCATCGCAAAAAATTGGCGGGAACGGTTTTTGTTTGTTTGGAATAGTCATGGAAACTCATCGCAATAAGTAATGGCGCCATAATCAAATAAATTACACTCGCAACAAATTGTACTAAATTTTTTACGCGTGTAGAAAATATAACAAGTACGGTACAAAATACAACATAAAACTTCATTATTTTTATGAAGCGTCAAAAGAAAATCGTTTTGCCAATAAAATTTCACTTAACCCTCATGACTTATGACGTTCTTTGCTGACTATGCATCTATTCATCAGCTATTTACTGTACCTTTAGTACTGTATTAGGTAGGAAAAGCTAATGCATTATAGATTAGTTAAATTTGGCAATCCTTATTCTTATAAATTAAAACGAAAGTTAAAATTAAAATTAATTTTTGTTACTAACATAACTATTTTTCTCGCATCTTGGCCAGAAGTTGCATCACGAGTCTGAATCGTTATCATAGGGTAAGAGGTTAAAAGATGTTTTTCTACCCTTTCAGAGTTGAGATAAAAAGGAGCTCTCAGTAGAACGATTAGTAACACTGCCTACTACGATATTTTGTTATGAAAATACAACATTGTGCACCAGTAGCAACATAACTATTAATCTTCTTCAAATGCGTACGAATTACGTCACAGCTTCAGAGTAATGCAATGGAATTACGTTAACAGAGGTACTCTGTGCAAAGATTTATAATGAATGATCACCTTCGGAAGCGAGAATAAATTGATGAATACTGAGGAACCGCAAAAAAGTCGATCGACTAATAGTGTGGAAAGGAAGGAGGAGAAATGACGCAAACCCTTCACGTGTGCAGCACGTTTCTTCGCGCGATGCAGTAGGGAGCGTCGCATTACGCCCAGAGAGCCACTGATTTGCGTTTGTTTTCATTCGGACGTAACAGAGGCGACTTATATACGTCGTGAAAGCGCTCGCATAACACTCGTAATGAACCACGTGTACAGTATGTGTATCGGTATGCATGTACGGATGTTAAGTCAGAGAGCGTGAATCTGTCCACAGCAGAGAAAGTAAGCAGTTTCCTCTTCCTGGTTTATGTAGATCCATCCTTTTTTCCATCGATTTTTCAACGATGTATCTTTACTGATAACAGACCTTCAAATTACGTAGAATTTTTAGCTTTACCTTGTGTCTGTTTTATTTAAATCGTTCTTTTTTTCCAGAGGGAATAGAGGTTATGAACTTGAGCAAGGATTTGTCTAAAGTTACCTTGAAACTTGGTCAACGTGAGGTTCCACGCGTAGCCTGTCCCAGATATTATCTGATGAAGCCAGAGAATTAACGAAATTCATAGTTAAAGGTTAACAAGCTTGGAATTGATAAATGCACGTCACTGGAGATTTTGCTAGTCGATAAAATTTTTTACAAAATTCGCGTATTATCTTCTACTAATCTTACCGTTTCCCTCTTATTTATAGTCGTTTACGCAGAGCTTTTCGAGTAGCTAAAGGCACCGCGAAGGTCATCTCAATTTCTCTAACGCTTTCATTGAATTAGTTAAATCTCTAACGGTTGCTTAATTATATTCTACATCTTATACACGATGTTTCTATTATATACTGTTGCGTAAATTTCGTTAAATTTTTTTCTTTCGAAGGATACAACGTGGTCAAAAATAAACATGATGGAGGGATGAGTACACAACTGGAAGAAAAAAGAAACAACAGGAACATTCTGATTTTCAAAGTATTATTATCAGCACATGATAGTTTCGCATCCATCTCACAATGTACGGATCGGACAAAACGTCAACAGTTATAAATCAGAAAAAAAAAATAAGGACACGGACCTTAGTTAAAGGGCCGCTTCTCCCCACTTATCGACGCAGAAAAAGAAAGGAAAAAAAATGATTAAAAAGACCAGAATCAATTTTGTGTAATACAATTCGTAATACAGAAGCATAAATAACGGGTAATCGTTATAATATTTGTAAAATATATCACAACGTCTTTAATATCTGCCTGGCGGATAGGGTCGAGGACGTGCGCGAGAGGCCTTCTAACCATTCGTATTCTTCTCATGCAACGAAATTTTTACTAAAATACCTAAGAAATCGAAGAAACCAATAGGAGCAAAGAAAGGAGAGTGTTATTTACTTTTTTCTAAATTCCAGGCATCGCGAGTAGCAACGATGGGGCTCACCTTGAATTTCGATTCCATCAGAGGACTTTTTTTTAGATCTCTGGGGAAGCACAAAGGACGTTACAAAATCGAGCTAATGAAACACGCATACAGGCTAAGAAACACGGCGTTTCTGCGGAAACCAGTCTTTCAGATTCGAAGAACTTCGTTCTTCATGCTTAAAGGAGGCAATAACCGTGCATATGCGCGGTGAAATCGCTGTTGCCCTCGCGACGTTCTCGACTCACTGACTTAGACCTCGACATACCTTGGCCAACGAAACGCAATAGTCCTCTGACCCCTGTTTGTATACCTGTCGGATTGGGACACGAGAAGAAACGGAGGAGCCGAAGTGAACGACAGCGTGTCAGTTTCGGTCGGTTCACCTCGCGCGTGCGACTGGCTTCAGGAGGACAGACGAATAAATTAAAAATTCGAATTGAAACGAGAAGGAGGAGTTTGTAGAGAAAAGGAGGGAGTTCGCAACGCCGGTGTATCGAGAGCCGTCGAATGGCTTACATCGTTCTAAATAAAAAATCTTCTTCGATACATTTCGCGTTGAAAAAATAGCGCAGAATGTTTGCCAATCGGCGGCTTCAATTTGTTATATTCTCTTCTATCGAACTGTCACGGCTGTTAAAAGGAAATGATAACTCAATAAAGTTTTTTTTGTCTTTTGTTTAAACACACTACGTTACTGCTTGTGTTTACTCAGTCATTTCTTTTTTTCAATTCTTGATTATTCCATGACGCGAGAAATCCTTCATTTAGTCGTGCGCGTTGCAATAGTATTGCCACTAGTTCTAGTGACACGATATTCCAATGGACGGGAGTAAAAGAAGCAGGAAGAAAATGAAAGTGTACAATTTGAGGTGTGACAGAACGAAGAAAGAAAAGACTGGCAACTTTTAATCGTATGAATGGTACAATTAAGACGAGCATAGAAAAATACTGTAGAAAAACGAAGAAACGCAGAGAAGGATTTACGAAGAGGGGAGGAACGACAGAGTCGAGGGCTCCCGCTTGCGAATTCCATCTATTCTCGATAGTTACAGCAACATTTCGCTAGAGCATGTTAGTTTCTTCTTCTACTTGATTTATACGCCCTCTTAAGAAACAACTTCGAAGTGAACAAATAACGCTAATCATTCATGCAAGGAAATTTCCATACGTCGACTTTGCAACTCTGATAAAATGTCACTGTTATAATCGTTAGCGATACTATGCACGTAATACTGCAGGGAGAAGCAAAATAGACGAATCGTTGCTAAACATTTTCCAAATGAATTTTCTCCCAAAATGGTTGATTTCAACGATAATAAACAGTTTATACAATACTGATTTGTGCACGGGAACCCTTCATCTCGTTCAGAATGAGTAAAATTAAGGAATAAACAGTCACTGTAGCGATACAGACGTTAGTCAAAAACAGACAGCGCGAATACTGTTCCCTGTCGAGGACGCCAAAAAACTCGACACGCGTTTCGTTCAACGACAGCCAACAGAATCTATCGTAGAAACGTTTTAACCACGGTCGAGTGATCGGAGTCGATCGTGCAGAAGCGAAACTCGAGGATGAGAATGACCGAATATAATCGTTCAGAAAAAGAAATCCAGAGTGCTCGCTCTGGAGGCTTATAGAATAATACAAAGACCGGAAACAAAGGGGCTAGACTTTCTTTCTTTTCTTGGAGCGAAAGCGGTCTTTTTTTTGTGCACACGATTACTAGCTTCACACTTGTCTTAATCACTTGTCGCTTTTTTTTGTCTGCTTTGTTTCATTTTGCTTTTATAATCTACTTTGTGAAATCGAGAGCTGATCGCAAGGCGCCAGGGAGTTAAAGTAACGCTTTGCTTTGTTTCTGTGTGTTTTTTCTTCTTTGTCTTTTTGTTTCTTTTTTTGTTTAATCCTCTGGTCGGTTTTTTAACGGTTTGTTCGTTTGTCCTTACGCCGCTGGAAGTATTCGCCACTCTCCTCTCTCTTTCTCTCTCTCTCTCTCTCTCTCTCTCTCTCATTCTCATTCTTTTCTCATTCATTCATCGTCAAAGTGTTCTCAGGCACGCCTATATATACAGAACGGTATCATCATCATCTTCTCGCTTTGCTGTTTCCGTTCGACGAAACGTTTTCAGGCGTCGTCGTCACGCTAGCAGTAGTTTACAGGTAATTCGAGTAATTTTGGGGAGAGAACGTATGTATAATAACACCAGCCATTTACCTACGTAACAATTACTACCGCTATATATACAACGAATCACTAATACGGTCGCCGATTGCACCAGAACAAACTGAAAAATCGAGGGCGCACATCTCTTCCTCTCTCTCTCTCTCTCTCTCTCTCTCTCTCTCTTTCTTTTTTGCTTGCTTGCTGGAGTATAGCGGGATAGCAGAGAAGGTACGAGGGCGAGAGTACAATAATTAGAGTAATATCACGGAAAAACACGTCCAGCCTCGAATAATTAAATAATTGTGGCACTTGTTGTTGGGTGAATCTCGTTTCCACCACGTTTACGAAGTGTCTAGTAAAATGGAATTATCGTCGGTTTCTTTCGCGCGGGG